CTGCCCCACCCCCGCCCCCCTTCCCCGAGGTCCAGCTCCTTTTTCTTACCCTTTTCCTGCAGGACTGGGGACTGGGCAGCACCCCCACGGCCAAGGTGCTCCGGGGTCCCCGACGCTGGACTCCGCTCCTCGGCCAGCTCCTCGTCCGGGTCCTGGTCCTGCAGCTCCACCTCTGCCTGTGGTCCAGTGGCCTCCAGCTGCTCCTCCGGCCCCAGCCGGCCCTCCTCGGCCTCCTCCTCTTCCCCCTGCTCTTCTCCCTGCTCCTGGTCGGGGTCACACTCGGGCTGGTCCTCCGCCCGCTGCAGTGGGGCAGCCAGGGAGCCGGGCGCCGGGTGCAGGGCTGCCATCTTCTCTGGAGGAAGCCTCAGCTTGGCCTGGAACACAGACGGGCAGGGGGCGGTGATGGGCCGCTGGCCATGCACAGGCTCCTCCACGGCCTCGCCTCACGCCAGCCCTGGGAAGGAGGCAGGTGCTATTCCCCCCGCAGCACAGCAAAGGCAAGAGACCAGCAGGGCTCCTGTGTCGCTCCTCCCACAGGCCAAGGCCCAGGCCCAGGGGCTGGGGCTCCCTGGCACCCAGAAGCCGCCTCTGTCCTGCCTCTCGTGCGCTTCCTGCTGGTTCCAGCCCCATTCTAGATTCATATCACTGAGCCCAAGGCTGCAGGTGAAGGACTACACCTAGGAGCACCCCTGCCAACTCCAGCCTCTCCCAGAGTGACCTCCTTGGTCTCCATAGCTCCCTGGGTGTGTGAAGGTGCCTGAAATGTAGAAGCACATGTGCCGTGTGTCGCTGCAGCCACCCCCGGAAGGAAGCACTCCTGCCCAGCACCTGGGGCAATGAGAATGCCAGCAAGGGTTTCCCAACTGCCCCCCACCTCGGGCTCAGAGGAGGATTTTCTCACCCAGACCTCAGGCTGCAAATTCAGGCTGAGCCCAGACGCCATGCCAAGCCCAGCAGAGATGCCTCCTGCCTGGCCGCCACCCAGAGCTGACTCCCACAGGCCAGGCTGTCGTATCCAGGGACCCGCACTCAAAAGAAAGGCCATGGCTTTGGAATAAACTGACCCCACGCTTGCCCTGCCTCCACACTTGGGCAAGTAATATCCCCTCTCCCTGGAGCTTTCTTCCCCTCTTCCTCACGCATCCTCCGGAGGCAGCTCCCTGGGTCCAGTCACACACAGCACCCTGGCCTCTGCCCTCGCAGCACCCACATTTTTTATACACTTATGGAATTGTCTGCTCATTGCCAGTCTCCCGGGTACAGTCAACCCTAAGAAGGCGGAAGTTCCCTTTGCTCACCTCCAAATGCCCCCACACCAGACACAGAGTGAGCGCTCCAACGTTTATTGAAGAAATGACTCTAAAGCCTGCAATCAGTGCGACGAACGTGAAACTTTAGAAGCTCAGGATTTTGGCCCCACTGTCACACTCCAGAACAGACTGACCACCGTCGAGGGTCCCACCCCGGAGGCACTGGAGAGTCTCTGCCTCCAAAGAGGTTTGGCCCCAAGTTCCTTCTCCCAAGAAGGGCACCTGCTGGAGAGCAAGGCCCAGCAGCCACCAAGGTCGGCTGTCACCCAGCATGTGGGACCGGGCCCAGCACAGCCTGACACCCCATATACCTCGACCCAAAATCCAGGACAGAAGAGTTCTGAGAAATGGACCTCAGTAACTTGAGCACTGCGTGTGTTTTGTCTCCCCAGGCCAGGTGTATGGTGGGGATGCTCCCGGACCTGCCCACTCTCCTTTCTTCTCTGCCCAGCCTGTCAGCCCACCAGAGACCGGCTCTGCGTACTTCCCAGCACCCGATTCCAGGTCAGCAGCCACAGAGGGTCAGGTGAGCAGCAGCATCTACACAAACCCTGGGTCACCCCAGGCCCTCATTTCCGCTGGAGCCCTACACCCTAAGATACAGTGCTGCAGACAGAACTGGCGGTGACTAGGTGCCCTCCACCGGGATCAGGGAGGACCCCAAGGGCATAAAGAAGTGGCAGAGCGTGAAAACTGTTAGAAATGCCCCACAGAAGTGGGTAAGTGGACTGAGAAGTAGGAGAGGTGTGTGGGTGTACATGGATTCCTCCCCTCTGGGGGACCTTACTGACCACACCTGTTACTCAGACCTTCCAGGTTCCCACCTCCTCCAGGAAGCCCTCTTTCCCTGACCATGGATTTGGGCTCCCCCGCTCTCCTGGGTTTGCTCCGCGGGTGCAGGCGTATCCATGGACCATCCCGGCTCCCTCACCACGCAGGCCAGCTCCCCAGACCTGCCAACACTTGTTGAAACAAACAAAGTGCCAAGGTCTCCCCACACAGGTGTGGCTAGAGGCCTGACCCTCCTGCATACCTCCCCGTGCACCCCGCGCCCGCCGGGACTCCCACCGCTGCGGCCGCACGGGGCAGCCCAGGCCCCATCCAGCTGCGCACTGGCCGTCCAAGTGTCCGCACAGCAGCCCCCGGGGCCTCCATTTGCAGACCAGGGTGGACCCAGCCAGGCCCCGGAGGTCTCTAAGCAAACCCCCGGGGGGGCCGGCCCTCCAGCCCTCCAAGGGGCGCCGCGCCCCCGCCTCCCACGGAGGCCCCGCGGTGACAGCCCCTCCTGGATGGGTGT